CCCTCCCAGGAAACAGGAGAATAGGAATTATGATGGGCTGTAAAACACACCTCTGCTTTTAGGAAAGGAGAGTCTGAGTTTGCTTTGGGTCCCTTTTTTTCCCTCTGAGTGGAAAAAAAAATTCAAAATTATGTCAAAACATACTCCCAGCATGGACAGGGGACAGCTGTACTCAGGGCTTGCAGGACACAGCAGTGATACCTGTAGGCAGCAAGATATAGATACCCCAGCACCTTCTCCAGGGCCATGGAGGTGTGAGGAGTAGTAGGGAGACCCTGGCTGGAAAAGGCAATTTCAGGTAGTCAACACTAGGTTTCTCCTATGCGCCGAGCTGGTTCATCCAAGGAGGAGAGGGAGCTTCCAGGTGCCACTTGATCATCGCCAGCCCGTTCAAGAGGTATTTCCCAGCCGTGAGCTGATGCCGAGGTGTGTTTGGGGAATCATTTGCTCAGTGAGCAGGCACAAATGTTCAGCGAACAGTGTACCAGCCTCGTTTTCCGGCTCTCTGCCCCTGCTGGCTGGGTAATGAAAAATCTGATTTGTGGGTGATTTGAAGAAAACTGCCACTATTCATCAGATGAATTATTTGCAAAGCCTAATTCAATCAGCCCTCGAAGCCTGGAGGATGGCAGCGCTGCGGCAGCCGGGGCTGCTCTGACCCCTGGTTTTTTTCAGCCGGCACCCCCAAACTCAGGATTTGCACCCAGCCACCAGCACCCTGGGAATGTGCCCAAGCTGCCCTGATTTCTGCTTTTCTGGGCACATTGCTGTTTGGGGCTGCTCGTGGTGGCATCCCTGTCCCCTGCAGAGGGGAGTACACGGCTCAAAGGGGTCCTGCCCAGAGCTTGTCTAAGGTGTTGATGATGGGTCCTGCTGCAGAGGATGCAGGAGGAATCTCCGCCGGCATCGGACACGGACACTCATGGGAGGTGGCCACAGAGCCCTGCAGGAGCCACCCGGCACGCGAGCTCGTTGGCAGGGGCAGCGTTCCCCCTCCGTCACCTCCCACACTCTTTGCAAGGGCTGATTTATGCATCGTACCGCGGCGGGCAGGACTGAACGAGCGCTAATAGGATAGGATGGATGTCGAGCTGTCGAGCATCGCAGGGCCTGATTCAATCAGCGTCTGCTCGCTCCCAGGTTCTTCCTTTTGGGGTTTTAATAGCGCCAGGCCTTGGCACCAGAAAATGAAGCCATCCGTGGTGGCGGCAATGGATCTTATCAAGACCGCTGCTGCGTGAGCTATCCATAAGTGCACACACGTGCGTGAGTTGCTCCTTGTGCCCGGAGCCAGACAGCCATGTCCCACCTGGACATGGGCATTTCTCAGCCACCCAATCTGCAAAGGTGTCAAAGCTGGACCATGTGTCACCAACTGTCCCTGCTGCCCCATTCCACCACGGTCACACTCCAGAGAGAAAAAATACCTCCGAGTCATGCTCCTCCTTTCCTAGAAGAGGGGCTGGCAGTTTCTTTCCTGCCAGAAAAGAGATGGGATATTTGTAGCCTAAACAGGTTTTTTATTCTCTCCTTTTGGCAGAATCTCACGTTCTGTCTCCTAAATATAAAACATTAAATGTTTAGGGTATCCTTTATTTTTCTCCTGCTTTTAAGTTTGTAATTCAAGCCAGATTAGCATGGTTTCCTCTTCTGTTTTATAGCCCCATCCTGGCCCCAAGCGAGCTCTCCTAATGCTCTCAGATGTTCCTCTAATGGATTACCTAGGCTGGAACTGGATACCCTTTCCTAATGGATTGCTAATAGCCTGTTTCTGGTTTTACAGGCTCCTTCAGTTAACTCACAACAGCAGCAAGCTCAGGGCTCACACGTATTGCATCCCAGCAAGCACGTGTGTGTGCAGCCCTGAGAGCACCAGCGGCCGGGCACACATGCGCCAGGGGCTCTTCCTGAGCCCCTAAGACTCTCAGCTATCCTGCAAGCTGCCATCGAGTGCACTCCCAGCTCTCCCGGCTTTGCATGGAGCATTGTAGGGCTGCCCTCATGCCCTGTGCTTGCAGCAGAGAGCAGAGATGCTCATGACCTGTTGATGAGGGCAGCCCAAACCAGACACCATCCAGGGTTTCTCTAGGGATGCCCAGACAGGCTGTGTCCAGACCATCTCCTGCACTGCAGCATTTGCAGGCTCAAGACTCCAGCCCCACGGCCACGCAGGGCTGATGTCCCAATCCCTGCCACATCAGCTGGGCACGTTGGGAAGCTCAGGCTGAGACCTGGCCAGTTCAGTGCAAGCCCTGAGGAAGTATTTCTTGAGCAGCGCCTGAGCCGGAGGCTGGGCCCGGGGAGGATTTCCTCCCGTGGACTGCCAGCAATTTGCAGATGCCGTCGTGAAGCCTAATTGAACCCACTGGCCGTGCTGACAACATGAAATGTTAACGAACCGTGAGGCGGGCTGCGCCTCAGATCTCGAGATCTGCAGTAAAAGGTCATGAGATATTTAAAGCTAATAATGCAGTCGGGTTTTCTCGTTCCTCTTCTCTTCTGGAAGCATCGGGGCCCCATCCTTGAGCACTTTTGAAGGCTAGAACTGTCTTTCTTCAGCAGAAGCAAGAAGCTCATGTCACCCCATGACTCAAATCGCTTGAGCTCTGGAGCCCCATATGCCAGCCTTGCTGCTCAGCACCAGGCATTGCCTGAGACGCACTGATTTGCCAAAAATTTAGTAATTCGGTCCCCGAGTGAGAAGAGGACACGACAACTCATCTCCTGTTGCCAGCAGTCACAGCAGGGGCAGTGGCCAGAGCAGTTTTAGGGATTCCCCCACTGCTGCAGGCTGCATCTGTCCCCGCGGTGCAGCGCGGGGCTCTGCCGGCGCTCCCACTCCGTGCAAGGCCACCTTTGCGTCAAGGTCACCCTAAGCGCCTTCACCCACAGCTTCATGCCTGGCAGCTTTTATTGAAGCACTTCCCTCCCAGCTGCAAAGTCAGTGATTAAAAAGGAAAAAAAAAATTAATAGGAGGGCGCAAAATGTTGAGGCTGTAATAACGTGGCTCAGAGCTCTTTGCGGAGCAGAGACCTCAGAGGAGAATGGAGATGGGAAATGCACAGAAATCACCTTTTCTGTCCCCCAGCTCTCCTCACCTAGCCGCAGGCAGTGCTCGGGTTGTAGCTGCTGTGCAGCACTTGGTGCCTCCAAAGGCATCCCTGGCATTGGAATTACTGGCAGTGCATGCAAGGAGCCCTCGCTGGCCGCCCTGGGGCAGGTCAAAACGCACCATAAGCTGCTCCTCTGTGATCACCGAGGCCAGGAGCACCAAACTGGGTTGTGTGGCCTCCGTGTGCCGCAGCTTTTGGATGGAAGAGTGATGGCAGGAGCAAAGGGAGAGCCCAAGGGGTGACGTGGTGCCTGCCAACCCCCTGCTTTTCTGACCATGGACCTTGTCCCATGCTGAGTACCCTCCAGGAAGGAGGCAGGATGTTAGGAGCAGGCAACATCCCAGTGTCTGAGCTGGACCTCTGTGGGGTTGCAGTGCTGCCAGAGGGGCCATGGGCTGCAAGCAACCCCAG